ATTCTACATATATGTATAATTAAATAATAATATTATATTATAAAGTCATACATATCAATATTCTCATATTTTACGTATTTAAAATACATATATTAAAAAAGACTCGTCTATTGTGAGCGTGATTTAAAAAGCACATTACGCGAACGCGTAAAAGAATTCGACAAAAGAGAAAGGAAGAACGAATGTGTGACTTTATTTTACACATGCGATCTAAAAACTCCTTTCTTATCGCTAACTTGTCAGTGTGAGCGTTGCCTAATAACGTATTGTGTTATCACGCCCGGCGCACGAATGGACGAGCGGCGGGAGAAAACGAGGGGAACGATTGGTCGTCTCCGCGTGGGGGGAAAGCGCTGATTGGTTACCGGGAGTGGGGGGTAGCGTTCGCCGAGCAGTTTAGATCTGACCGTCGTGAGTTGTAGTCTTGCTGGTACACGCTCTCTCTTTCTCTCTTACGCGCACTTCTTTCGTCTCTCTATTCCCAGTCTCGGATAAAGCCGTGTGATGTTCGGCGACTGACAGTTTCGCGAATACTCGCGCGTAGATGCGTAACGCCGTCGTTTCGACGCGTTGGCGGGACGTCGTAATCGTTTGCTTGTGAAAAAAAAATAAACGCAGTTTCCCGCGCGCGCACGCGAGCGCGTGCGTGGCCGTGTCTCTTGCCTGCGACGCGACTACGTTGCGACCGGCGAGTAGTAAACAGGTGACGCCGACGAACGCGCTATACGCGTTAGCGGTTGACCTTTTACAACGTACAGTGCGCCGCGTGTAAATTGCGCGAAATAGCAGTGGCCACTGATCGGACGGGTGTTAGGAATAAATCGCCCGCACCATACCGCGGTGGACACCGTTCAGAGTATACTGTGTCAAGGCCACCGGCGACGAGTTCGCGCCTCGTGTCACTACGTAGCGTATTTCTCTGCGTAATACCGAAGGAAGGACGGATAGAGAGATACGGAAAAAGACAGATCGCACGATCTCTGCATCGCGATCATCGAGAAGCCCGTAGTTTCGCAATTGCATTCCTCAAGATTTGTCTCTAATCTGAAAGACGGTGTCAAGGCCGGTGTCAACTTCCGGCGAGTTTTTTTACAAGCGACGATATAGCTTCTCTGATCCAACGCGCGCGCGTGCATGTGCCAAACTATCGTCAACTTTGATGGGATTGATAAAAATTTCATAAACATCGATCGTCGTAACGATCTAATCCCGACTCTATGGAGTTTCAGAGGAATGGTACTCTTGCGTGAAATCTACAATAAAGTTCACGCACGTTGAAGAACGGCACAGTCGATGTTTGTCCATAGAAACCCGGAACGATACAGCGTGATCATCAGATTCAGAAACGACGGAACATTTGGCGCCGGTACATGCTTCATCGATTGATCGATCAAGCTGAACTTCTTGTAACACTTGCCAGATACAGGCAAGGCCGGAGGCCTTTATTATCGCCGCGCGAATAAGCTATCGAGCGACCGCGATTAATCACCGGCTAACCAGCTAATTTTAATTCGGCCGGCAAACAAGCCGTCGCCGTTGCGATAAGACGGCCGAGAGACATCGCTACTGACGACGCGTCACCGAACGATGCTCGCCGTTCTCCAATATGGCGAGCGATGCTTGCAGGGATACCTGCTGCGAATTGCGACCTGTGTTTACCGATGCTAACGAGTGATTGTTGAATAAATCGCGGATAAAGAGAAGTTAACGGTAACAATCGTCGTTATCTTCGTGACGTGAAAATTGTGAGACAATATTGACGGATAGAGAAAGCGAATTGAAAAGTTTGCGACTTACAATGGCCAACGACGACGGGCGAACGTACTTTGTACGGGCTGACGGATGAGAGAACTTGTTTTTTTTTTTTCCTTTTTCCTTTAGAAGACGTATATATTATTTATCGATAAATGCATCTCGAAGTGTACGGCATGTGGCAGCAGCAACAGCAGCAGCATCAGCAAGCGTTTTTGAGGGGTTTGCCCCCGCAACATCCGCAACAGACTCTCCATCCAGGGATCATCGGCACGGATAATCACGCGCCACATCAGCAGCAACATCATCAGCATCATCGCGCTACCATCATGGATTTGCCGGTACCAAGGTCAGTCTCGTTGTCTTGTTACGAGATAAAGTCGCCGGGTGTATCAAGGTGAACGGATATGCGGATAGGTAGTCGCGCTCGGATTTGAATCGAGCGTGTCGCAAAATTTATCAACCTTCATAACGTCACGAAGATAGTTCTTCCATATCTCTAATCGCAGTTCTTATTGCAAACTACCGTGTGTGTGTGTGTGTGTGTGCGTGTCTTCTGATTTTGATAAAACGTACTCTAAACTTTTAGAGTAAAATCTCACTCTTAAAATTGAAACTCTTGAAAATTGAAACTCTTTTTCAAGACTGGTTTAATTTTCATTCTTTAGAGTAAGACTACTCGAAAGAACAGAGAGTTTTAGAATAAAGGAGCATCTTTACATTAAATTTTACATTTAATTTAATGAAAATTTAATTTTTTTTTCTAATAAAAATAGTAGATTTATACATAAAAATTTATACATAAAAATTTATACATAAAAATTTATACATAAAAATTTATACATAATAAATTTATACATAATAATTTATACATAATAATTTATACATAATTTATACATAAAAATTTATACATAAAGATTTTTTTCTAATAAAAATAGTAGATTTTATCAGATATCAAAGAAGCAATGATAACACAATTAATCCTTTGAGTTAAATAACATTATTGTTATTTGTAACTTCTGTATAAGTGTCAAAATGTAAATTAATTCATTTCTGTGGCTAATCTCAAAGGAAACAATGTCCATGTTAATGTATGCATTTAAATAATAAACTAAATTGATTTGAGTCAAATTTAATTTCTCGAGTTTCTTGAGTTGAATTGTTTAACTCCATTGTTTTAATTAAATTGACGATATATTGAGTAAGGCCAGTGGCAACCTATAGAAATGAAACTCAAATTAGGTATAATTTCACATTATGAATTTAACAGTGAACAGTATAATTTTATTGGCATTTTACCTTTAGCTTTACCGTGCATATATGTAGCGAATGATAATGAAGTGTTCTTTCGCTCTATGAATCGTATCCAAATGAAGAATATTTCAGAATCTTAGATCGTTAATTTAATGATGTTAATTTATTTGATCAATTTGAAATTAGTCTTTCTTTAAGAAAGTCTTGAGACACTTTCATCATTGTAACTTTTCGATAATCTAAAAATTTTTATGTATAAAATGTTAACTTTGTTTGAGAATAATTTGACAATTGTCCGTTTTATTCTTCAAAATTGTGTAGAGTGTCGATGAATAATGAAAATTGCATGTATGTGTTTATATTTTATTTTGCTATATTAATAAACAATAATTCGTTTGTATTTTAATATTTTTAATAAAAAGAGAAGGCTTAGTCGATATTTATATTTTATTATGACAATTCATAAATGTAGTAATTAATAACAGTAATAATTAACTCGATTTAGAACGTTACGGAAAAAGAAATCAACATAATTACGCGATATAGAAAAATTATTATAAAATTCTGTTTATGAATATAAGTGTATGAGTGTGGGTTACACCCATTTGCCAACACGAATTTAAAAGTAGAAAATATTAACAACTTTTTTACATATTACATGCGTACATAAAATATTGTACACATATCCGACATTGCATATCGGCATTTGTGTATTTTAATGGTACATAAGACCTTGGCTTTTGTTCTATCTAAGTATATATATATAACCAATGTGTCATCGCTGTGTAAGAATATTTTACTATGGATAAATTTATTCATGAATGCATAGTTGTCTTTCTCTAACGATTAACTATTTCAGTGATAATTTACTTTCACTATGTGCGCGATAATATCGGACGCCTGCATGTCTCATTTCTTTACATTCTGCTGTATTTCAAGACTATTTGTTTGTCTCTCACATCTTCTGTCGAAGTCATCCAAACATTTTTACGGCGGCATTTACAAAACCGGTTACATTTTCATTCAAATGTTATTATTATACAATCATTACTTCCGCCTTTCCAGTCTTTTATCCTATCTGTATCAATACGTATGTTTACGGTCCAATTAAATCTGATATAAAAATCAACGCAAATAATTTAGTAAAAAAAATACAAATTTTATTGCTTTTTTAGTTTTACAATTTTATTCATAGTTATATTTCTTCGTTTTGTATATGCAAGTAATAGAATGAATATAAAATTGAAACTTTATGAAAGTGTTCATTGATAATAATAATATTTTATTATATATTATTCGAGCAATGTTTCCATAGCTACATTATGAATGATGACATTGAGAGATAGATTTTTAATTTTGTTATAAAATATTTATATTGAATTACAATAGTAATTAACTGTAAATATAACGTACGAGTATATCAGTATAATTTATTTTTTGTTAACATTGCATTACGTTTGTAAATATATTAAAGAATTTATATAGCTTGAGATGAAAAATGAATTAAAGCCATTATAGACGAGAATAGAATTAAAGTTTATTAAAGCTGTTTTATATATATATATATATACAATAAAAATGAATTAACTTATTACAATTGAAAAGATTTTTATTTTTAAAATTCAGAATAAAACGTATTATCTTTCAAAGTAACATTTTTTGCAATAAAATTATTTACAGGCTTAAGAGCATTAGCCTCACCAGATTATGAATTATATATTATCAGATTATGAATATTCTTTTAACAATAAGATCCTTTTAAACATCAATATTATTTAATTGTTTGTTGTAATCTTAAGTTGTGATATTACTATTTTAGTTCTATTAAGATTGCGTTTCACGACTGAAAATTAAATTCGGCGTGCAGTTTGCAAGACTGGATATGTATGTAAATTTAAATCGAATTATTGAATATATTATAGATCCAGCTCGATCGTTTAAAGCTTACATTTTTCTGGTGGTTGTGTAGGTACTTACATCACAGTCTTAAAAGATACTTTGTTTAAAACGTGTTAAATTATGTATTGGTGTCTAATATTATTCAAAAAATTATAATTTATTCATTACTATTCATGACAATTTGACTTGCAAATATTACCATATTTATTGCGTATAACTACCTTCGGAAAAATAATAAATTTAAGAATAAATAGCGTTGAAAGTATGGGAACTCACGTCACACGTGAAACGTTATCAAACTATTGTAGAAACTGACGACTATTGACGGAACTACGTGATTAATGTGCAAAGAAGATTGTATTGTATGAAGATTTTATTATTTTCGAGATTATCTAATCATTTACTCTTTGTTTTAGTTTGAACATTAGATATGTAAAAACGAGAAAATATGAATAATATTCAAAGTTGAAGTTTTTATCTTTTTCACTATTTAAAAATGTCCGATTAAATTTTTTCATTTTAGTTTAGGTGTAACTTATATTTTATCTTCTGAAACTGTAAAAAAAAAGGTTCTAAAATTTTATTAGAAAACGTTATTTATCTTTGAAAATTATAAAATTCTAGTAAAAAAAAAGTGTTAGCAACTATTAAAATGTAAAGATATGGCATATTGCCACACATTTTTACGATGTAGTTTGTTTTGAAAGTTTTAATTTATTGCATATATAAATGTAGTTACTTATTTGCATATTCGTAACATTTATGTTTTGTATAACTGAAGAATATTTGAAAAAAAAAACATTTTTTTAATCAAGAATGTAACAAAAAATTTTTTTAAATGTTTTACTATATAAAGTTG